AAACGAGACAAACAAATCGTCGTCTGAGACAGCAGAAAATAGCCAGAGTAAGCCAAGAGTGTGTAACATTGTCACTGTTTCTGTACCACAGTCCATTATAAACCACATCATGGATAAAGTTTACAAAGCCATAGTCAGGTGAGGATCAAGGGTCTTAATATATAATATAATAATAGTAATCAGCTGATTGTCTCACAAACGTAACCAGCACATTTCTCCCCACATAGCAGACCCATAATACAGCGAGGGAGAAAAACCACATGCAACTATGCAACTATATAGTTTTTCTAACAGGGTAGTAAAAGTTTAGCTGGCTAATATGAGCTGTAACTGTGGCTGAGCTGGTTAAAGTGTAAAGCCTTGTTTAAACTCGACGCGTCCGCATGAGCCCAAAGGTGTGCGCGGCAAAAATGACATGATTGTAACAGCGCGCGCGCCTCCACATCCCCTAGACACCAGTTACTACACACAATAGGCTTTTTTTCTCTGATTTTGAACTCTTCGCGATCGACTTAAAATGCTTCCAAGATCAACTTGTCGACCGCGATCGACGGGTTGGCGATTCCTGTAACAACATACGGTCAATGACAAGAGTACTAATCAGCTGTCTCATGAACGTAACCAGCACATTTATCCCCACATAGCAAAGCCATAACACAGTGAGGGAGAAGAACTAAGTTACATGAAACAGTCCAACATATTTTACACCACTGACAAGGGAAAAGTCACTACTCACGGTGTTTATGGCTAGTAGCTTCTAGGTTTCTGCGGCTTCTCTTTCAAGGTAGTGACGAAACGCGCTCTGTAGCGCTTTTTGTTCGCGTTCGGCTACGGTAGAAACATGACGTCACAATATGTCGACCTTCATAGAAGGGGGTGCCCGCGGTTATGTAGATATAAATGTCTCATTATAAGGTAATAAAAACATTACGGTTTATTAAGTAAGTTCTTTATACACCACTGAAAACATAGTTATGGATGTCATATTGCATTTCTGTTAATAGATACTCAATTTTTTTACACATTGCACCTTTAAAGGTTTTTGGTACGTATCCTAGAGACAAAGATGAATTAATGATATTAAGAAGAGGATCTATGACATCTGGAAGCATCTCTTTCAATAGCTTAGTCTGAATAGGGTCTAACATACAAGTTGTTGATTTAGATGAATTAACGAGTTTGCAAAATTCTTCCTCTCCTATAGCAGCAAATGAATAAAAATTTTCCTCAGGGAGACTACAATGCACTCCCTGATGTGATACTGTAGTAGACGGTTGCATAGTTATAATTTTGTCCCTGATATTATCAATCTTATAAGTGAAGAAATTCATAAAGTCATTACTGCTGTGTTGCTTGGACACTTCTGGGCTTGAAGCTTTCTTTTTCATTAGTTTAGCCACTGTTTCAAATAGATACCTAGGATTATGTTTATTTTCTTCTAATAGGGTTGAAAAATAAGCAGATCTAGCAGCTTTTAAAGCCTCTCTGTATGCAATCGAGCTCTCCTTCCATGAAATCCGAAATACCTCTAGTTTAGTTTTCTTCCAGCTACGCTCCATTTTTCTGGCTGCTCTCTTAAGGGCCTGAGTGTGCTCGTTATACCACGGCATTGGACTATTTTCTTTAATCTTCTTTAAGCGCAATGGAGCAACTGCGTCTAAAGTGCTGGAAAAGAGAGAGTTAAAAGTTTCTGTCACAATATCGAGTTCTTCTAAGCTATCCGGGATGCTGAGATGATGAAACTGATTAGGAAGATTATTAATAAAGAAATCTTTAGTGGCAGAAGTAATAGGTCTAACATATTTATAACACAGAGTCGGCTTTGCTGCTTTGGCTAAATGTAATTTACATGAGACTAGATAATGATCTGAGATGTCATCGCTCTGCTGCAGAATTTTAACGGCATCAACATCTATTCCATTTGATAATATTAGATCTAGAGTATGATTATGACAATGAGTAGGTCCTGACACGTGTTGTCTGATTTCTATTAACACCAAATGGCCCAAACACCAACCCTCATTCACGCAATATACACAGGAACGTAATAACTGTAATTACTATGCAAACTATACAAAAAAACCAACAGACTCTTCGAGTTTTTCAAGAATTCTTCTATACAGTAGCGTGGCGGCCTGTACCCAGCCAGTAAGAATCTTTCCGTCTCAACCACAGCCAGTTGCTGCTCCTCTCTGCTGCTTCAGATAAGTTCTTTACTGTGCGACGCAACTCTTGGCCACTGAATCCGACGTCTCTGAGGAACCGGGTTGTAGAGTGTGCCACAAATCCTTGACAACCCACTTCCACTGGATGAACCTGGACTCTCCATCCTCGCTGTTCTGCTTCAGTGGCCAGATGAGCATACTACAGTTTCTTCCTCTCATATGCCTCATCTACCGCATCCTCCCATGGCACTGTTAACTCTATCAGTTGAACAATGCGTGCTGATCCAGACCACAAAACAATATCTGGTCGGAGGTTAGTGGTGGCAAACTCAGGTGGAAAAATAAGCCGTTGATCAAGATCAGCCAGTTTTTTCCAATCCCTAGCAGCTTCCAGTTGTCCTGGGCGAGAATTAGTTTTAACACCTTTTCTTCGTGGTTGCTCGCCTGGGGGGAGCAATATTGTCTTCTGTGTGTAATGTTTTGCTAGAACAGGTGGCAACTAATTGGTCATGTTGCGCTTGCCTTCCAATGCTAAAGCCAAACATCGCAGTACTTGGTCATGGCACCAAGTAAACCGACCTTGGCTAAGAGCCACCTTACATCCTGTCAAAATGTGCCTTAATGTGGCAGGTGATGAACACAAAGGACAAGAGGGATCCTCTCCTACCCAGAGGTTTAGGTTCTGTGGTGATGGGAGAACATCATATGTTGACCTGATAAGGAAACTGATCCTACTCTCTTCCATTGACCAAAGGTCTTGCCAGCCCATCTTGCGTTGTTCCAAACTCTCCCATCTCATCCACTCTCCCTGCTTGGCCTGGGAAATGGCCAGGTTCCTCCTTTGAGCTGGGCCTGCCTTGTGCTATTTAGGAGGAGCTTCCATGCTGTACCTGTCCCACAATATCACCAATTTGCAGGGCAGTTTTTGCCTCTACCACAGATTTCTTTGCTGACCACGTCCTACCAGTTTTTAACACAGGTGCTGCCTCCCTTACACATTTGTCGCGTGACTTTACTAAAGTCATTTCCAGTCTGACCTTGGCGCACTTAAACTCCTCGGTTAAAGCAATTGAGTTTACAATGTCTTTAAATGCCAATCCCAATGCATCTTTTTCATTATCTACATGTATATTAAAGTCACCAACAATTAGTACTTTATCTGCAGCCAGTACTAACTCTGATAGAAAGTCCGCAAATTCTTTGATAAAATCTTTATGGTGCCCTGTATACAGTAGCCACCAGAATTCTCAAACGTGATTTATCATTTACACTATATATTTTTACATTAAGCACCAATACTTCAAAAGAAGTATATTTAAAACTAGATTTCTTAGTGGTTTTGAAGATATTACTCTAAATTACAGCAAAACCTCCCCCATTGTCTTCTAGCAGGGCATTTGAATGTTTAATTTCATTGGGTGTTTACGAAAAGAATCTTCAAGACTCTTATAATACTAATGCGTCATAAAGTTCGCAAAATGTAATGTAAATTAACAAATGGGGAACGAAGATTGGATTTTATAGAGACTAAACATGCTACACATATGATTTTGGTTACCCATAGTATGCAAGTCATGTTTCAGACCAAAATAGTTTAGAAGAGAGAATGAATCATAGGCCAAACCACATAAAAGGAAAATTATGAGATGGAAAATTAGATACATGTTAAGACATTTATCACATGGTTATATATATAGAATAGGATTAAAAGTGTTTCGTCTTCTCAGCAAGAATTAGGAGACAATTCCCTGCACATTCTTTTGGGTCGTAAAACTCTTATCAGTCTTAAGGTGTCCTGAAACAGGACAATGGGTTATGCCAATGTTGGCTTCATTTGTGGGGGAAGTGAGTTTGTTGGATTATTCATTGAATATAATGAATAATTTGTGTGTGTCTGATTGGTCCAGACGCTACACGTCTAAGTCTTCAGATCACAGAAGCTGTGGCTTACTCACACAGCTGCCTGAATCAAATGCTTTATGTGTTTGTGGGAGAGAAATTTAGGAGGCATCTTTTTAGGAGGCCACAGGATCTGTTTATTCACAGACCACTAGTGTGGATGAGAGATCCGCTGCAGTGTAAACAGAACATTAATTGGAGTAGGGAATACAGGGCAAAAAACAAAAAACAAAACATCTAATAAGGATTTACTTGGATGAGAAAAATGTTTTCTTTCCAGTACTGACAGAAAGTCACAATTCAGCTTTTTTTTTTTTTGGACAAGTGTGTCAATTGTACGAATCATACGATTGTTCGAAAAAAGTAGGTCCACCCCTAACAGACCCGTCACTGAAGCTCGTACAAAAATGTATACAGTAAATGAGATTTTACGAATTCATACAAATTAGCCATCAATTCACCAAAATGTAAAATAGTTATGAATTGCCATTGTATTGGGGCAGCACAGGACGGAAGCCATGACTGAGAGCAAATGCGTCATATATACCTGATGAGTGTTGTCCAAGTCAAATCACATTTATTTATATAGCACTTTATTCAAAAAAAGATTGTTTCAAAGCAGATTCACAGTAATAATAATAATAAAAAAACAGTATTAATGTTGCAAAGTTCTTCAGTTATGAAATGGATACAATTTCAGCTGTAAAGCCGCTCTAAAAAGAGAAAAGTGTCATTATTCAGCTCAGTTTAGTTTACATTTAGTTAAGTAATAGTGTGAATAATGCAAAGTTTTTTAGTTATTAAGCAAACTCTATAGAAGATAATAGTGTCATTATTCAGCTTGAGAAAGTTCAGTGTTGTGATAGTACAGTATGTTCATTGAAGATCCATTTGCACTGAATATGTTTCTTTGCCTCTTCTCTTTGTCATTAACAGGACCCCTGCACAGCCTCCATGGACAGGAATGGTAACCAACAGCACCCTTGATCTAAATGATCAAGCATCGTCCAGGTGAGGTCATATCACATTTATTAGACACAATTCAAGGAGGATCTCTGCTTTGCTTATAGTATTTTTTTCCCTGTTCAAGTGTGGATGGACGACGTACTGATGAGCCATATACTACTGCACAATATGACTATTACGAGTTCTACAATGGAAATACTGATCCATCTGCATATTCCTGTGTTTATGGAGATCATGCAGATATCTTCCTCCCTGTGTTATACTTCCTGTTTTTTGTGGTGGGATTTCTGGGTAACATACTGGTGGTCTGGGTGGTCTTGATGGGTGTGAAGCTGAGAAGCATGACCGACATCTGTCTCCTGAACCTGGCTATAGCTGACCTGCTGCTGGTCTCCTCTCTTCCCTTCCTGGCACACTCTGCCAGAGACCAGTGGATTTTTGGAGATGGTATGTGCATTATGGTCCTCAGTGTCTACCACATTGGATTCTACAGTGGGATATTCTTCATTGTACTTATGAGTGTTGATCGATACTTAGCTGTAGTTCATGCTGTGTTTGCTTTGAGAGTCAGAACAAGGACATATGGGATCTTAGCCAGTGTGGTCATATGGATTGTTGCTGTTTCTGTATCCTTTCCTGAGTTGATGTACCTGAAAACCACAAAAAATAATAATCATACTTATTGTACATATTATCCAACCAATGATCAAACTTCTAATCATACACACAGGATTATTGGTATCTTTAAAATGAATGTCATGGGTTTAATTCTCCCACTTATTGTGATTGGATTTTGTTACTCACTGATTCTGAAGAGACTCCTGACAGTTCGCTCTTCCAGGAAGCAGGCCATGCGTCTAGTCATTGTGGTGATGGTGGTCTTCTTCTGCTGTTGGGCTCCATACAATGTTGCAGCTTTTGTGAAAGCTTTAGAGCTAAAAGAATGGATACCTATTTCCTGTGCCAGCAGTAAGGCCATCCGTCTAAGTCTTCAGATCACAGAATCTTTGGCTTACTCACACAGTTGCCTGAATCCAATGCTTTATGTGTTTGTGGGAGAGAAATTTAGGAGGCATCTTTTTAGACTCCTGTACAGGACACCCTTCAGTAGATTGCAATTCATGAAGAGTTATATTATACAGGCCACAGGATCTGTTTATTCACAGACCACTAGTGTGGATGAGAGATCCGCTGCAGTGTGAGCGAAACATTAATTGGAGTAGGGAATACAGGCCAAAAAAAACAAATATCTAATAAGGATTTACTTGGATGAGAAAAATGTTTCCCTTCCAGTACATCTACTGACAGACACAATTCAGCTTTTTGTGTTGTTATTTCCAAAATTGAACAGAATATAGAAGACTGCTCACATTAAAATGATCATACAATGCCATACACAAGCCTCATAATGTTATTTGTGCATATTTTGTAAATGTTTTATATTTTATCATCTTATTTTTATTCTTATTTTTGTGGTTTTCTAGCAACTTTTATATTTTACAAGTATACATGCATACATATATTTGACTTTTACAGTTTTTTGTTTACTAATACTGTAATTAGATGAACTATATTTTGTAAGAATAAATACCTTCAATAAAGATGTATGTAAGTGTGTGAATCTCATTGCAGAGTGATCATTTTACACTGGTGAGAACAGCAACAAGGTCAGTTAGTAACACTTTAGTTAACGTCAATAATGCATTACGTAATATTAACAAAAAGCAATGCATTTGTTACATTATTCATTCATCTTTGTTAGTTAATAAATATACATCTGTTCATAAATGATTTTTAATTATTTTTAATTGTTAGTTCATGTTAGTTAACTAATGATAATACATTAAATCTTATTAAGTGTTACCAATGAGTTCCTGTAATTAGTATAAAAAAAAGTATTATCAATATGAATTTTGCCATAATATATATATTATGCCTGTGAGGGGACAAAAAATACCTGTAACTTAAGCGGTTATTCAAAATGTGAATATCTAACAATCACTAGACTTGCATAGAACTGGAATCTGTTGAAATAGAGCTGGGTCGTATGAAACTGGGTCATAGGCTCAACCACAGACCCCAGCCACTACTCCTCCACAAACGCATGATTCAAGTTGTGCATATGATGCTATGCTATGATGAGTAGATTTAACATATAGACTACACAGATTGTCATCACAACGGTCATTATGATTCAGTCTAATATCCCCAGTGCGACCCTTCTAATGAAAATAGGTGCAGCATTCTCATATCTGACCAGTTCGAGTGATTAGGTCTTTACTAGCCAGTCAAAACATCATGTGATAGACATCACTCCTTCCCAGTACATTCATAATAACACACTGACACCTTTTGAGGGACTATCCCCACTACCATAATGAAACCCGAACTTAGTGTTTTTGCTCTTTGCAAGTTTGGAAAGTTTGCTCACGAGAGTTAAGGACACTACAGGTACAGTGAACACACAAGTAGTTCTCAAACACAACGGCTATGACATTTACATTGGAAATTACAAATAGTTTCTATGAGAGATTTAGAAACTCCTGAGCTGATGTAGCCTTCATGAACACATACATCTCTAGCATTTTTTTTTTTAAACAAAATCTGTTGAGGTTCATCTAATACAACCCACCATTAGTTAGATATCTACTTGTGAGGAAAACGGGGACAGTTGTATCTTTAAAGGTTAATTAGGGTGTGGCTAGACCGTTAAACTCCACTCATTACATCAAAAGAGGCGGGGCTGGCTGTCAAGCTCCACCCATTGGCTCTGCTGTGAGCAGCCTCTCATTCAGAGACTTGAAGACCAAATCTCTTCAAACGACGTGGAGCAAAAAGATTCATGATTTGTCTGAAGGATGAAGTTTTACTGTTTTCATAGATAAAAATCTATAAATTTCAGTATAGTATTATAAAAGACATTGTTGTTTTTCTTCATTGGTACAGATTGCCTTATTCACTTCCTGTCATGGATGGCAGAGTTTACTTGGCAGATATCATGGACTCTGAGATGGTTGACTTCTCTAAGGACAACAAGTCCAATGTCTGGGTACATAGTACGAAGCAAGTCAAATGAGGCCATTATAGATGTTCAATAATTTCATACTGATGTGGTAACTGTGGCGGTGAATACACCACACACACACAGCAACAGCACATACAGTATATGCAGTGGAAGTCTCAAAGATCTCACCTTCACCCACAGACATTCTAGATGGTCTGGAACCGGTTAAAGGATATGATGGAACATTGTCTCGGATGTACAATACAACACCTCCACCATACAAATTGTTCGACCTCCACCACAAGAAGTTGTTCGGCATTTGGAAAACAAAGTGGTTCCATTCATCCCAAACAGCTACATAGTGTTGACCCAGATCCGGCCCACATCTGGTACACGTGGATTCCACACGGCCAAAATGTGGGCCGGATCTGGGCCGACACTATGTTGCTGTCTGGGCACTGTGTATCTAAGTTCCTCCTTGCTCACGCTTCAATGGACAGTTGTTATTTGTGTTAGGGCACGCTGTTACACCTCCTGCCTTCTAGTTTAAAGGGCACCTATTATGGCATTTAAAATGTTCCTAATATTGGTTTGGGAGTCCCCAACAACAGTTTTACATGCATGCAATGACAAAAAACACTTTTGTTGTCTTATAATATGCATTTCTTTTTACCGGATTTGCTCACCGACTCCCAAATGATTCGTTCAACGACTCATTTTTCCAAACCCCTCCTTTGCGTGACGCTAATCTGCGGTGATTGGTCAGATGACCCAATCAGTTATTGTTTGTGTTAGCCCAAAGCATAAACATATTGATAAAGCACTGCAGTACTACCAGGTATTTCTCTATTCTTTATTACAACTCCAATAACAACGACATACATTTCACATATTTAAAAAAAAATTGACATTGGAGACCTAGAAGCTGCGCTGAGCGTAACTTACACAACACACACAAATACTTATTGGGCATGCTACAAAACACATAAAAGCAACAATTATTAATAATACTTACAGGTTGTGAATCGGAGGAGGAAGCTGATCCAAATAAAATTGGTACTGAACCTTCCTTCAGTATCAACCGGCTCGCGAATCCACACTTGAAAGCATTTATGTTTGTAAAGCAATCGTCATTAAAATGATGCGAACACAGCACAAGGTTCGGCCTATACTTGTGTGGTATAGTTGTATATATGAACTGTAGCCACTTAGTCTTCAAATGCTCCTTCAAAAGGTCGCTTTTGATTCGCACTTCAGAACACAGTTTCTTGTTGTCGACATGATGTTTTCAAGTTTACCCTGGTGTCTGCGCACAATGAGTGGGCGTATCTTATTCAAATAACTTGTCAAGTTGACGTCATCTAGATAGAGAAAAAGCATCGTTCGTCTATCGATTCATATCAGCGACTCAGAGTCGACTCTTACTTTTGAGAGACAATAACTTGTGTGAACTTTCATATTTAAAACTTTGCAGGATGTTTTCGTTCACTTAGATCTATGTTACACACTACATGAAAAGTAATTTTCAAAATTCCATAATAGGTGCCCTTTAATTAATGCTTATTAGTGCACCCGTATTGTAAAATGTTACCAAAAAGTCTTTGTAATCTTTGTAATCATGTTGTCCGTTTTCATCTTCATCTTGTGACAGTAGCATGGTAAGATGATCTTTTATGCACTAACTTTTTTTTTTAGGTAATTAGTTTTGATTATGATATGTCTCCATTCCTAAATTCAAACAATTGGGGTCTAGTGAGGTTAAATCTACCGCTAACCACAGTCTTAATCTTGTGCAAAATGTTACCCCCTCTACATCCTCCTTTCCTAGTTGGTCTCCATGCCACCCCAAAAATCCATTGGTTTATGTTATAATAATGTTTTATACTTGTAAATTATATAATATTATATTATGTCCAATCTGTGCAGTCAGAACCACTGGAGCCTCGTCGAAAGGGTACATATGCGCCAAATACCTGCAGGTTTTGTTCAGACAGTAAGTTGCTATGGTTACTTACACACCCTGAAAGTTACCTCAGTTTTTGTAACTGAAAGTTGAGGTTCCCTATCAGGGAACTCGAGCTGCGTGACAACGCTTTGGGAACGCCCCTGCGTGAGTGCGTCATGAAGCACGTATGAAATCAGTCCAATGGCGAGACGGAACGTCATAGGCGGGTGACGTCATCGACCAGGAAACTATATAAGCACCCCAAAACACAAGCGCGTCAGCTTCTGAAGTCTTCAGCAAGCGCTCTGTGTGAATTATATCAGTCTGTGTCTCAAAGTGTTTTTGTCTGTCCTTAGAAATTGCTAGGCAGGAGTTTTTCACATATAAAAAAACTATAAAGAGACGATATATATATTATGGCGAGCGAACAGCAGTTCAGAAAGTGTGTGCATCCCTGCCCACGTTACATCAAGGGTGGGGACACTCACGATCTGTGTGTTGTTTGTATGGGAGTACAGCATGCCCAGTCAGCTCTCGAGGGAGCTGATTGTGAGCATTGCGAGCGTATGTCAATGAAAACGCTCCGCTCCCGCCGAGCCCTCTTCGAGGAGAGTGGTTCGGTGCGCGCTCCCCGCGGTTCGGGTCCCGCTGCTGCCGAGGCACAGCGGAGGCGCCAATCGTGGGGTTCGCAAATGGATCTATCAGCGGGGATTGAGACGGGCTTTGCCTTATCTCAGCCCTTACCTGATAGATCCAGTGTCTCAGATTCCGGTGTGGAAGCACGCGCTGCGGTTTCTTCCCCCCGGGCTGAGGCACTAACACTTCAACTATCCAGTTCTGAGGAATTGGATGTTGAAAGTGTTGATACAGCAGAGACTGGGGACTCGTCACTTCAGTCTCCTGCTAGTGAGGAGCTGATGGAGGTGTTGACTCGTGCAGTTGAAAAGTTAAGCATTGAGTGGCCAGCTGATAGACAGGAGTCTAGATTAAAAAGCAAGTTGGATGAGAGATTTTTGCCATCTCGCGCTGCACCTCCACGTCGGTGTCTACCGTTCTTTCCTGATCTCCACACCGAGGTGTCGAGATCATGGAATAGACCGGTCTCTGCTAGAATTTTTACTCAGCAGACCTCTGTTTATTCAAATATTTCTGGGTCTAAGTTACATGGTTATGGGGCGATACCTAAGGCGGAGGAAGTTTTGGCGAGCCATCTTTCTCCTGACACGGCATCGTCCTTTAAGACACCGGCGTTGCCCACCAAGCCATTAAGAAACACCTCGGCTTTGGTGGGCAAAGCTTATTCGGCGGCAGGACAAGCAGCTTCATGTCTTCACACCATGTCTATTTTACAAGCCTATCAGGCAGATTTATTACAAGACATTAGTGAGGGGGAGGAAATAAGTGCTGATGTTATTAGAGAATTGCGCCAGGCAGCCGATCTCTCTCTCCGTGCCACCAAGGAGACGGCCAGATCAGTCGGCCGTTCTATGGCAGCCCTGGTTGCCACGGAGAGGCACTTATGGTTGAATCTGTCTAACATGAAAGAGAGAGAAAAATCTTTCCTTCTGGATGCGCCGCTGTCGACTGCTGGCCTCTTCGGTGACTCAGTGAATTCGGTCATCGAGAGGTTTCAGGAAGAAAAAAGCAGGCAG